AGGCATATGAATGGGTTTATTTTACGTTTCTAATATAAAAGAAACCTTTAAAAAGGAAAAATAGCCCAACAATATAATCTAGGACAAAAATCGACGTGGTTAGATTGCATTTGGGACAAAGACTGTTTGGGTGAGACTCCGTATCTGGGACAAAGATCTATGGGGCCACATTGCATCCAAGACATGGGACAAAGACTAACAGGGCAAGACCACAACTGGGAAAAAGACTGACGGGGCTAGACTGCATTTGGGACAAAGGTCGGCAAGGCCAAATTGTGTATTTAGGATAAAAGCCAATAGGCCCACACTGCGTATCTTGGACAAAGACTGGCGGGGCCAGACTGCATCTTGACAAATATTGATGGGGACGGACTGCATCTTGGACAAAGACCAGCAAGGCTAGACTAGATTTGGGACAAAGAATGGCTGGCTATACTGCATCTTCCAAATTTCTCCCCCTCAATGCTATGTTGCCATCGGAAAAGAGACAAACAATGTGGGGATAAATCTTGAGAGAGGACATTTTGCATCCAGAAATAGACCAGTTTTTGATTGTGGGAGCCGAGTGATCTAGTTCACGGGCTGTAAGACATATTGCCTGAGTGTCATACTGTTATAATTGCTTAGTTGCATGTGTATTGCATATTACATGGTCTATAGTCATATGGTGTCAGTTCCTATCAGTTTCTGTACTTTTCACATACAGGGGAGCTTCTCCCTGTACTAGAATCATAACTGATTCTGTTGAGATTAGTTGAGTTCTGTTTTTTTGTTTCTGTTCAGCCTCGTAGCTGCTACACCTATAAATACTTGTATACTGTATCAGATCAATAGATTGAATAATATGAATGCAGTTCAGTTTTCGCTCAACCTTTCCTATCTCGTTCTATCATTTTCTTTCACTTTCCTACACTTTTTCAGTTTCCTTCACAGCCCAAGAACTTGGCTTCCAGCCTAGATAAGTAGCTGCTTGGTTTTCCATATAGCAGAACTGAATTCAAGGATGCCACACAATAGTACAAGACCAATGGAAGCATAACAAAGACTTGGGTGCTGAGCAGATCAAATTCCTGTGAATTCCACCATCACATTCCTGATCATTTTTTCAAAATACCCAAGTGTACTTCGTCTTCAGGTTGATTTCCAGAAAGCACATTAAAATTTTTCTACCTAGATACTCTATCAACACAAGGGGAATGTGTTACACATGTTGATGCACCTAATGACACATATTTTGATGATATACGAGAGAGAAAGGCTTGGGCATGTAAATTGCTTTTGACCTAATCAAAAGCACCCCAAAAGACATATTGAACATATGCATAGATCATGTGAATGAGGAAGACTCCGCTTTGAGTGTGACCTTTTCAAGATTTTGGATAGAGTCTTCAGTTGTGGGCTTCATCCTTAAAACTCCACTGTTATTCTCCATGCTACAGCTGCAACCCAAGTCCAGGGAACCAAAGACGTAAACATCTCCTGTATCTGCCTATTGCAACACTTCATGTCAAGGATTCAAAGCCCTAATTGGTATTACTAAGGAAGCCATTCCTTACCCTTCTTGTTTGACACTTACCAAGAAAAAGGTAGAGATACGTAGACAGAGATGGAGTGATGCGTGATAGGCTTGGGACCCACATAGCAACTAGCTTTATTGTGATGTTGGTGAGGGTGGTGGTGTCGATCCATGTTGTCATGATAAAGACTAGGGTTATGAAGGTGGAGCTGTTTATGCCGGTGCATGTGAGGTTTTATGCCTTTGATTTCAAGGTAAGGACCCTTCATTGTTGTGTTGTTCATGACATTGGAGTAGTTCCACAAGTTGCATAAGGATTTCTAAACGATGCAGATTCGTTAGCGGCGATGGAGCAAGAGCACCATGAGTTCAACAACATTCGGCCCTGAAACCACAATGGGTGGGCTGACTAGATACACTTTGGATTTTAGGGAACTCGATAGTGGAATAGTGACGGAATAGGTCACGGAGGATGATACTGCTCTGATGTCATGTTGAAATTATAAGGATTTAGGCATAGAGGGAGGAAAACGAATACTTAGAAATAATAAAATTATATTGATATTGTTGTGATCAATGTCATATAATGTGAAACAAATTATAAGTAATAACCCTTATTTATACTAATAGTGGACTCTTAAAATAAGGAAACAAATCATGAAATGTTTTACGAATATGGAAACCACACCATAGAGATCATTTAAGATACTCTAAACTATTTTGAAGATATAATCATATTATTATAAGATATCTTATAGATATTCTAACAGTTATATTTTTGTATATGGGCATGCGGATTACTTTGTTTATCAGCTGAATTAGAAATTCTTTTACCATTGGGGTGAGCATAAACGTAAAATCGTGAAACGTAAACGAAACGTAAGAGTTTACTACGAACAAAAAATATATATATATATATATATATCCAACATATATAAAACCAAAATACACCAATATATAGAAAGGAATTATAATTTATAATTAGTATATTCTAACAATTTTTATTATATAGAATGGTATTATAATTTATAATTTATAATTTATAATTTATAAAACAACTTTCAACCAATGTTTTTAGTATATTCTAACAATTATAATTTGTAGTAAAAAAACTAAGAAAGGCATTCAAGTAGTAAAAAAAGAAAAAAAGAAATGCATTCAATTAGGTGATAGTCATGTACACGTATATAGAATGAAATATAACTTATTTTCTAACCATTTATGTAAGTGAAAAATGCTAATAATATAGGAAGATAAATCACGCTGAGAATGATAAGTAATAACAGCAGTGAAAGCGAAAAGATGGAAAGGGGCATACTTTTAAGCGCAAGATTAGGCAAAACTAGTGGACCATTGAAAGGGATTCTACAAGATGGGTGCTTGTGAACAATTGCAGTGACTATGATTGAGCTGAAGGCAGAAGCACAGCAACACGAGTAGAAGCACAACGCAGCACTACAAGATAGATGGTGATGTTTGCAGCGCTGCAACTGGGTGAAGAAGAAGAACGATGCAATGACAGGGATTTCTTTATTTTTTTTAGAACTGAGTCAACTCGGTAAACTCGCCGAGTTCAACCGAGTTTACTGAGTTTCAACTGTTTCGACCCAGATCCCGTTTCTACTTCCGTTTCGACACGTTTTTGGTCAAAAAATCGTAGAAACGTTTGTTTTTATGTTTCGACACTACGTTTTAACAACCATGCTGGCATCATTAGCATCCTGTGCTTGAGTAGATTGAAAATTCTGTAGCACTCTGTGATAGTGAATCTTATTAATTTTGAGAGGAAAAAAGAATAAGCAGGGGATAAAATCTCTCCAGCTTTGAGCCTTTCATCATACCCAGGCCTTGTGCGTGCAATTTGTACAGTTCTATATTGCGCATTGGGGGCAATCCAAGCAATGTTTCGCCAAACATTTGGGTTGAGGATGCAAAAATGTTTAAATAATTAAAAAAACTATAGAATTTAGTGAAAATCATACCATTATTCTGTTCAAGTTCGACGCTCATGAGAAGAGTATATTGGCAAGTTCTTGCCAAAATTTACTCTCCAACTTCCCATCTGCCTTTGACACTTCTGATGGGTACCCTGTTTTTTCTATCTATTTGCCTCAACCATTCTCCTTCTTGTTTTATTTTTTTATTTTTCTGTTTGCCAATTTTTTTGGCAAATGTGTACTTATTATTATGAGAAGTCATCAGAGTCAGTAGTTAAAGCTTTTGGTCATCTTCTGTGTTTCCTGTCACCTATGTGAAGTTCAGTTTCACTTGTCATTCCAGTTGCCTTTGTCAAGAACCTCTCTGTTTCCCTCTGCAAGCCCATTGTTTTTGTGTTGAAAAAGAAAGTTGCTGAAATGTGAAACTCTGGACCCAAGGAGGAATTGACTCAATAGTGAAGACTCGGCATATGTTTGGTTTTTACCTGACATATTCTGGACTCCAGTTTCACCTAACACTTTTTCTATAATACACTTTGAAATGTACTTTTCATGAAGATTTTTTCTTCTTTTAGTGAAATGGATGACAGTACATGTTATGAACTAACTATACCTAAAGCTTAACCTATTAGGTGAAGACACATGAATTGTTTTATATTACATTTCTAACACGCCCCTTAAGCAAGAGTCATTTGGGTTTAAAGTTTGGACAATTGACATGCCTACCTACCTTGTACTAAAATTCAACTTATTATTAGAAGAATAAGGAAAACAATGATCAGATTTTATATAATTGGTCATAGAGGCTTGGATACTATGTCACGAGTTAACTATTCCAAAAGTTTAAGTGGCTAGGTGGAAGACATATAAATGGTTTATATCATATCTCTAATAGTATATGTTAAATTTGCCTAATTTTGGGAGTAGGTAAAGATAGTTGTATACTTCTATTTAATTGCAAGTTAAGTTTTTCAGTATAATTTTTATTTTGAATTATATTACATATTTTTTATCCAAAACAAAAGAGTTCTATACTTCAATTTTTTAATATTGCCCTACAACACAATGGCTCAATGAGCTCTTTGCTCAACAGAGCGCTATGCTTAATACGTAACTTCAGAAACAACTTCAGAAACGTAAAGGAAGCTAAAACACATATAAATGGTTTATATCATATCTCTAATAGTATATGTTAAATTTGCCTAATTTTGGGAGTAGGTAAAGATAGTTGTATACTTCTATTTAATTGCAAGTTAAGTTTTTCAGTATAATTTTTATTTTGAATTATATTACATATTTTTTATCCAAAACAAAAGAGTTCTATACTTCAATTTTTCAATATTGCCCTACAACACAATGGCTCAATGAGCTCTTTGCTCAACAGAGCGCTATGCTTAATACGTAACTTCAGAAACAACTTCAGAAACGTAGAGGAAGCTAAAACACAATTCATAAATGTGTGCTTTGTAAATCGAGTTAGACCGAGTTTGGTTTTTGGGTTATGGTTGTCTTTATTTTATACTAAATCTCATTCTTTGTGATTATAGGGAGAACCTGTGAAGGTTTTTGCCAATGATAACAAAAAGATCACTTGTGGTGAGTACCTTTATCATAATTAATGTTTTTGAAATGGAAGTTTAGCTGTTGCTGCCATCCGTGTTACTTGTTAAATAGACAGCAAATGATTGCAAGTTTTCTGTGAATTTTTCAGTAATTTTGAAGTGCTGTGCATAAGAGTAATCTACTATAGTCTTTTTTGGGATAAGCTCCTATCATTTGTCACATCTATTTTGTTGAAAAGGGGAAGAATATATAAAAGGGATTCATGGTTGTTGTGAGAAAGAAATTGGTGTGGCTTTATGCCCACTAGAGCATTTATAAAACAGTGAGTGTTCTGACATCTTTAATTTGAGGTTTACTTTTTTAATTCACTACTCATACAACATCAGATGTTCTTTGAGGTGATATAGTGCCATAAAGGTTGTTGGACAATTTCAAATGGTGAGTTAGTATATTGTTTATTTGGTTAATACTTGAGGCAAATACGTCGTATGAAAAAGAGGGGTATAGTTTCAAATTTTATGCATTCATTGTGCTGAAGTTATCAAAAGTAAATAATTTAATAAAAAAAATTATTAGAAAGAAAGAAAGATATTACGAATAAGGAGGAAGATACTGTCCCAAGAAAAGAGTTAAAAATGAAAAACAATTTAATCTAAACCAACTTATCTGCTATGGATGTGTCATGCTGGTTGTCTTTATTTCAATTATGTGATATAGCTTTCTCTGGTCTCTATTCTTTCGTTCCTTTTTGGGGCTGCAAATCTTGGTGTGCCCCTAAAATAGTTTATTGAGTTATTCTCTTTCGTTATTTTTTCTCAGATCCCGAAATGCAGAGCCACATAGAGAAGGCTTTTTATAGTGGGCATGCTTCATACAAAGTTTTTCTTTCGGTAATTCAATGAAAGTAGTTTTCTTAATTGTTGTTAGTTTCCTTTGAGTATCATAGAGTCAATCTTATTTTACTTATCAGTCTTCTTTATGAAGAAATCAATCAGTTTTGTAAATATTTTTGGCTTGATATTACAGGCTGGATATCTTGATATATGGGAACCAGCCACATTGGCCATTAAGAAGGAAGGTTGCAGTATCAAAGGACCAAACGGAGTTGTAATCACAGAAAAATTTTCACCGTCCACCACTGTATGATGTCTTGTTCTTTGATATTCCGTGTGAAGATTTTGGCTAGCTGGAATTATGGTGAAGTTATTGATTGGTTTAAGGAAATAAAGTAAAAGAATTTCTTGGAGTCATTCACTGAAATGTCCCTTTCTGCTTATAAGCACAAATTTCTCTTTATCATTTCATCATGTCAAAATTCCTTGTATTATACGTAAAGAACCAATTCGACCCAAAGCCTTAAGCTATTAGGTAAATGCCTCATTAGTGGTTTTTATATGTTATATCTCTAAAACACCCCCTCACGCCAATAGCCTTACAAAATTGAAGTGTGAACAATGCACACAGGTATACCACATCAAGAACCCTTTAGGGATTAAAACATGGATAATTCATAGGCCCATCACGCAAAGAGCCTTTTCAGGATTGAAGCATGTGCGCTGAAATTTTTTATTAAAAAACGGAGGTGGTGAATATTAAACTCGTGATCGTGACCACTTGGTGATACCATGTAAAGAACCAATTCAACCCAAAAGTTTTAGTTATTAAGTGAAGGCAACATTAATAGTTTTTATATATCATATCTCTAACAATTTATATAACCTAAATCATGGAAGAAACTAATAGTCTCATGGTCTGGCAGTGTGGCCTAGTTGAGAATTGTAGTTATAACATTGTGAAAAACACCCCGTGCTTATGCAAATGGCAATTGGTTTTGTTTGAGGATATATAACATTTTGTTGGATTATAATTACAGACTGCCTATAAAGTTGTAAGAAGCATGATATTGCAAACTATGTGATTGTCTGTTCAACTTGGAGTTGTGTTGGATGAAATGAATTATCTAACCATATAGGTATGTGGAAAACCAAAAAGAGCTCATGAATTTGACAATTAGATCGTTTCTGGACCTTGTTTATTTCTCGGTAATAGTACCTATATCTAATGTTCAATTAAAGTTGTAAAATTTATGGTATTGCAAAATTTGTGAGTGTCTGTTGAACTTTCTGAGCTTTGTTTGAAGAACTGAGTTATATCACCGGATAGATATCAAGAAAGGTAAAAAAAGCCGTGTTTATTTCTCAATAACAAAACTAAAAATATTAAAAAAGTCACTATCAAAACTCAAGACATGTTGTATTTAACGACAGCTAATTAATGTTGTTGCTAGCAGGGTTTCCATGATATACTTTGAAAACTGTGTTGTCTTTGTATGTTTTGAACTATATGGAAGATTTTGTCTTGAGTGGTTAGCTGATTTTTTGATCTTCTGCATTTACTGTTGTAGGTTGTGATTCCATATGGACATATTTCAGAATTTGTTATAATTGGTTCCAATGGCACTGAGCATCTGTTAAGAGCAGTAAACAACTCAACAGATGTCAGTAGGTAAGTATTCTTACAGTTGTCTTGTCACACAAACTGACAAAAGGGATTAAGTTGCATGCATTATAATGTTCCATGTGCAAATATTTTAGCATCGAATGAAATAATGATCCCTTCCAGAGATTCCGCTATCTAGTTGTGCTACGTGTTCTTATCTGCTAATATTAAGTGGAAAACCATTTCTCTTTTTCCTTTTAAATTGAGTATTTATTAATGTTTATTTATGGAAATGGAATCATTTTTCAGAGGAATTCTTGGATGCTGTTAGGTTTTACCGCAATTGAGTAAATGTGTAGGATAGAAGGGCATATGGCAGAGGGTCATAGATCTTTGGTGCCCTCAGCATTCTATACATGGGACTTCATATTCAGTAGCCAATATACTTTTGTAGTGTGCCTTCTTTGTTTATGGTTACTTCTGTGTCAATCTATGAATGCAATAAAGATCACGAGCAGAAGATTAGAGTTTTTCTTTTGTAGATGTCCTTGTGTGCTTTTGTAATCTTCACCATCCAAAATTCATTGCAATTTTGAGTAGTAGTAGTTTTAGCTCTTACTTCTGTTTGTCATAAATAACAAATGCAAATACGTTTTTAACCTTGAATATGAGGGTTTATTTTTTTCTACAATAAAATGATGAAGATATTCTTTATAATACTGTAACAAATATAAGGTTATATTTCTTGATGGTCAGCAAATCTATGTCAAACAACAATACTGTTCAGATCCCTACTCCCTAGTGTCTGACCCTATGTGCAACTTCAAGCAGTAAAGATTATTAGTAAAGTTTCTAGAGAAGTTAAGAACTTGTAATATATTTATTTGTTTACAATGCATTTGGAACTATTATTTTTTAATCTGTAAGCATGAAAAAAAATTAAGCAAGAGAAGTACCCAATGTCAAGTTTTTGAATGGTTGCAATGTACTGATTCTTGTCTATTTCGTAATGTTTTTCCTTTTTTGGCTTCTGCTTCTGATAATGTTATTTATGCTGCTCCTTTTGCAGTGCGAGAGACACTATTGTACTCACTTTGAGATTATTCATCCATAGGGTAATAAATTGGCTACTTACTTTATGCACTACTTATTAATATAAATGTCAATAGTTTATATACTAGACTTTTTTCGTTTTGCCCTTATGTTTACTTGGCATATGATTATATTATAAATGATTCTAAATCTGTTTCTCTCTTGCCTAACTACTGCATGTGCCCCATGCACCCTTGCCAACACATGATAGAGACAAAAAAAGAGAAGGGGGGGTTGGGTTTGGAGAGAAGCTGGTAGAGCATTAGTTTCCCATCATAAATTTTGTTTAATTTAGCCAGTCAATATTATTTACAGTAAGCACTACTGTAACTGATTTAGAAACAAGAAAAAACTAGCATTTGTTAGATTCCTTAATTTGAAGTCAATTGAGCTTTGTAAGGTTATATGATTCGGACCTGTCCTTGAATCTTGACTTATTGCTTCACTTCTTAGGATTGTATTGGAAAGCCAAAATATCACTTCACTTCATTTATTGTACATGTACTTTTATATTTGTTTTTCAATTTTTTTATTGGTTCCTAGCATAAAATATTTTATATTAAGCGTTGAGCCGGTGGCTGAACATATTTAAGGTTTCTTCTGATTTTCCAGCATCTGCAGGCTGGGGAGAAAAGGAGAGGAAAGAAGAAGGGAATATTCTTTAACAAGTAAGGGAAAGTCAGTTGCATTGCAGAAAATGTCTGCTGTAAGCGGAATTTGCGGACCAAGATATGGGGATTGGAGTGGTGTTTTTTGTGCTACCTAAAGTTTTGCTCCTTTCATTTTATATAATAGGGCAGAATTAGCTTGTGCTGTAATTGTGAATTTATGCAACCGTTTTTTTTTATTTCAATGTTTAGTAATTCTTTGTAGCTCTTTTCCTTGCTCAGCAAGTCAATTGTTGTACTGCATGCTGTTCTTGTCATTTTGTGCATTTATTTGCATGAACCCGCGTGCAATGTGGCTGCATATACGCATACTACTTCCCCCACTTGCATTATTAACAAATGATTCTGAGGAAAATGATATAGTTGCCGTTTAAATTTAGTGAAACCCGAATAAATCTTTAGTACTACTGCTGTATCTAGATTTAGTGCATCTTATCAATGAGAGTTACATATCAGAGGAGAGAGAAAAAATTTGACAGAAAAAAAAAAAGAATTTTAGCTGACATGTAATATTTTCATTGATGGGATGTACTGAATTTTTGGTACAGCAGTAGTACCAAAGATTTATTTGTGAAACCCGTTCCTATGTTGACAGGTTATGTTTTTAATGGGAAAAAAACTCTTCAAATCTTGTTAATATTTCAAGTTTGTCCATAGACGACTTATTGGAATTATTACCACCATGTACGTGAACTGTTTCATTGCAGGGCAACCTTTGGAAGGTAAATTTTGGGAAAGATCACAAGAGTATGTTATACTTTTCAACTCCCCGTGTCACCTTGTTGCATGGCAGTGTGGCTCCATCAGCCATTGGTTATATTTGTTGAAATGGGGTTTTAAAAAGGTGGAGCCCGTACAAAGATGACTCTTGTGTATAAGGGCTTAAATTCAACGAAGGAGGATATAGGTGTAATGGGTATAGTTATGGCGTGTAAAGTGGATATGAATTTGATTGAGGTTGTGGCTATGGCTACTAAGTCGACTGATGGATTGGAGAATACTTATCCATAGTCGCATGTAGGATTGAAGGAGTTTATGAAGGAGTTTGAGGGGATGAATCCGTATAACAATGATTTTTGAGTTACTCGGGTTTGAGATGATTCAAGTTGTTTCTATTTGACGCAATATTTTATGGGTTTCGTTGAATTTGTTGCATTTAATCATCTTCTGTTTACCCTGGGATATCCATCAATGGAGAAGCTTACTTTACCCGTGCAGAGAGATAATCCATCCAGTTTGGTTAGCTTACGTAAAGAATTCATTTAACATGAAACCAAAAGCTTAAGCTTTTAGATAAAGATCAAGGGGTAGGATATTGTAAAAATTAATTAATGTTACTATCAATGTTACTACCAATCAATTTTACTGTTAGATCGATTATGTTAATTCAACAGTTATATTTATTTTCACTTTTCTATGATTATGATTCTCCGTATTTAATGTGATTAATGTTACTATCAATGTTACTACCAATCAATTTCATCGTTAGATCGATTATGTTAATCCAACGGTTATATTTATTTCCACCTTTATATAGTTATGATTTTTCATATTTAATGTTAACATTAAATATGAAAAATCATAACTATATAAAGGTGAAAATAAATATAAAGTATTAAATATAGGGAATCATAACCATACATAGATAGAAATAAATATAATCATTGGATCAACATAATCGATCTAACGGTGAAATTGATTGTAGTAACATTGGTAGTAACACTAATTGGTTGTTACAATATCCTTCCCCAAAGATCAATTAACATTTTTTGTATTTTTTATTGTATTTTTAAAAAAATCCTCTTACATGATAGCCTATCGAGTGGACAATGCACACGTTATTCATCTTATGATAAGAAATTTTATAATATTTAATTATTTATTAGTCTGATGGAGGTGGTGGTGAGGATCGAAACTTGTGATTACTTGGATATGGATATTTTGATATCATATAAATAATCAATTCAACCAAAATTTTAAACTATTAAATAAATACTTAATTAATAGTTTTATATTATATTTCTCTAGGAGCTTCGATCTTTAGTATAACTCTACGGGTCATGTGTAGAAACTTATCTTTGAAAATCTCTAACAAGACTCATTGAATTCACCAAATTATGCATACAATAGGGGATTTTCTGCAATGAGGGAGTGTCCATGTACGTTCATGTGTTGCTTGGTTACTTTGTTCAAGGAGTCGTATTAGTGAATTTCAAATGCTTGATTCATTTTTTCTTTATTATTTCAGTCAATGCACGCTTGCATTACTCATTTGATGAAATTTCTTCATGTTGTTAAGAAACCTGTATCATCCAATTTGACAAAGACATTAATTTATTGTATTTTCATAAGTCGACAAGTCATCAAATATTTAACTGTTTTTAAGAATTGGTTGTCTAACATATCAAATCGTCCATTAGTTTCACATTCTTAAATTTATTGAAATTTCTAGCACAACGGTCAAGGAGATCGTCAAATTAAGAAAAGATTACGTTATTTAAGTTAAAAATTAGAAAATAAAGTAAGAAAAATAACTCTTTTTACATCAATTATCATTTTTTCTTAAAGAATTTCCCGATGATGTATATGTAAAGTGGGAAAACAATACTAGGCATAAAGTACTCTCGCAAATCACAAGCTCATGCAAATTATTACATAACACTACGGTCCACCTGCAACTTTTATCGAATGGCTTAGATGGATTCACTTTGGAGTTCGTGAAAATTGAAAAATTTGTTAGGATTAAGCCTGGGTACTTATCGTTACTCATAAATTGTCCCTTTTTTCAATTTTTTTTTTGGTTTCCCAATATGCATGAGTTATTTCGATATTGACCTGTTCTATATTAGTAGTGCTAAATAGCATGAAAGATTTTCTTTTATTTAAGCCACTATATTTGGTCTAGTGGTGAGGGGTTTGAGTAATGTTGTATTAGATTGTGTATTTAATTTCTACTTATATGAAAAAAAAGTTTTATTTTTATTTTTTTTATACAATAATGACGCTGAAGTTTGAATTTATGACTTAAAGTAAATGTCTCACCACTAGACCATGACTTATCACCAAAGCGTTTTAGTTATACATATTACAAATATTCACTGGCATTCAACATTTCCATGACATTCACATACTTTAGGGGCCAGTAAACCCGTGGTAACTGCATTTCAGCTTTGAATTCGTGTGACGTTTTAAGAATGAGTTCGTATCATTTAGCATTATTGGATCTATATTGTTATGAGTTATGACAACAACGTCCATATAATTGCCGCTAAGAAAAGGGCTAGATTGAACATATGGAAGGTTTTCCGATTTATGGGTACAATTGATAAGGAAAATATTCATGAAATCCTAACTCTATGAAATGTTTGGTGGCACATGCTGAGCCTTAAATCGATTATCTGTGAAGAGGACTTGGATAAAACTTCATCATAGAAACATTAAGATTGGGTTTGTTTTATGGAGAAGAATTGGTTCACGAGTCGCATTTGGTCGTTTATTGTGTTTCTCACTGGGGATTATAAAAACAACTATCATCATTCATGTTTTGTTTTTGGGTTTATCATCTATCATTTAACATGACCACAAAAAGTTTGCTACACACACAACATTTTGTGGAGCCCGTAGCGAAAAAAAAAAAAAAACTTCGGCACGCAAAACGAATATGTATAACATAACACAATCACTTTCCCTACAACATAACTCTTATAAAACCCTTTGTTTTTTCGTTTTTTTTGTTTTCTTTTTTGGGTAATCAAAGTGGTGAGATTGGACATTTTCTGAGACACGTGGGAAATTCCTTTGTTGAGCTGAAAAAAGGTTTCATCTACTAAGGCCACGAGAATTTTTCTCGCGGCTTTGAGCAATACGGAATTGGAGGCTGCAATAATGGTTTATTGTCACCTGATGAGAAACAATTTTGTTATTATATGAATTGCATATTAAAATCCTTGACAAGAAATGGAGGAAGGAAAACTGATTCAACTAGTGAGTATGAATGGGTTACAATTGTAAATTTTAGGTTGGAGGTAACTCATGATTCAACAGGAATATCATAACATTGATGTTATGCCAAAAAAAAAAAAAAAAAAAAAAATCCATGTACATCAATAACACCGGAATGTGGTCAGATATGTAAGTTGATATCTAAAAGGTACATTATTCTCAACTTCATTATGTTCAAAGCAAATTTGATTGGACCGCAGTGTCCAGGAAAAGCAGAATTTAGAGAATTAGAAATAGGGAAAAATTATTCTTATGTCACATGACATAAGTTTTCTCTCTTACACATTCTTCGATAATCGTGTCACATTTTTATTTTATTTTATTTTATTTTATTTTTTGAGATGGTGGAACCCACTAATTTGTCTCTATGACATGAGATAACTATCTCCTTTAACATGCGATTAATAAAACCCTTAGAAATATATATTAAACCTCTCTTAAGGTGAATAATGTTTATATTGTATTAGAGAATTTACAGTGTATTAGTGGCTACCATGGTAGGACAACGGATATGGCAGCGTCCTTATCTCATACTTGCAAAAAGGGATGCTTCAAATTAAGGTGCGTCTGCTTTACTTTCCTGTCTTTTGTACATTTGGTACAGTGCAACGAACTGTCTATTATCGATGCATTGCAGTTGCTAAGTCAACCTAAATTCCTTATTGATATGTGCAATTAGCCCATTTAGCCATTGCATAGGAACTTACCTAGAAATTGCTACAACATGCAATTAGTAACATATATTTGCAAAGATATTTATTATGGGACGAATGGCCAATAATCTCAACCCTGATTTTTTGTCCTTCTTCTTTAGTTGACTAATTTTAGATTGTCCAGCATTAGAGCATTATTAATTGAAAGGATTGTTTTCTGATGGTTCATGAGAAATTAAATGTATTTTGGGGACTATAATACATTTCTAGTGGCTTTTATTATTGATGTTCCCATGTATGAAGTTAACTGCATGTTTGGTAGGTACTTAAAAACTTACTCTTAAATATTCAAGCATAATTTTGAATTCTTGATTATGAAACAGTTTTGCTTTTTATCCATCTCTTCCACAGGAGCATGTTCAGCAGCTGATTTTGATTAATGATTCATCTACCTGCTGAGGAGAATGATTGAAGAGGTAACACTGGCACGTGTTTGGTAGTTCAGATTTGTATACATATTGTGGTTATATATGGAAATCGGTGAATTTCTCTTCTGTCTACAAATGTAAAGAAATGGAAGAGAATTCTTTGAACATATCTTAACCTAATTCAAGATTTGGCCATTCTTGGCGTTTGATACGTGGGATTCTCGAAGAATCC